ATTGAAGGGAGCGCTTGTCCTGACCAAGAGGCCGGTACCATGGGTGAGCGGAGCATTGAAGAACGCACCACACCATGGAGGTATCAGAGCCGCAGTTGAAGTTGTGAACGCATACTGCAAAGAAGAACGAGGAGGACTCTTGTTTGTGCGTCGAGATTATGGTGTGAGATGGCCTACCACGACTACGATATCTGCTGACGCCTGATGAATATCAGACCATCTTCATGCTCGACAACAAAGACTAGGTGACAAACTCTTAGTTCGCAGGTGACATTGTGGAATTTGGGTTGGGTGTATTTGAACTGGCTGGTATCTTTCGGAACTCATTGTTCAGTGATTGGAGCTGCATTGATGAGTGTAGACGTGGCATCGAACTGTCATTTCTCACCTTCTATGCATCGAGCCGGAGAAACGTTACTGACAATATACAAAGAGGAACAACGCTCTGTGCTGTTACCCTTCAGTGGACGAGAGACAAGAGATATCCAAGATGGAAGCCAGATATCCAAAACCAGAGTTCATAACACGGATGATGCCACTTGAAGCAGCACCACCCAAGGGAGAAGAGGGAGACAAGAAGGAAGATGAACCAATGGAAGAAGAGGAACAGCCTCCTTCTACAAAGATGGCGAAGGGAGATCGGTATCACCGACAGCAACATGGACAAATCCACCACATTCAGGACCATTCACGCCCAAAGAAAATGAACCACCTTCACCACCTTGAAAGAAAACATACGACAATGTTCAAAGGGTGAAGAAGAGGGCTCAAGAGATGAAGATTTGCCTATGTTCCGCGTCCGATGCTCATACGCTGGCAACGTGTGACACTGAGACCTTCATGGAATACAAGAAAGAGATCATAAAGTACTTTGATCACATCGAAGGAATGCTCAAGCACAACTTCACGGACCAGGACGAGGCGATCTTCAAAAGAGATCAAGCTGAAAGAGAAAGAGAAAAGAAAAGAGCAAAGACCAAACGCAATGACGATGACGAATACGCGGAGATGGAGGACATTGACTTGCCTGAGGAGATTGAAGAATTGGGCAAGGAGTCACTGACCCCTCGATCCAAGAAAGCCGTTGAGTCCATGAAATGTTCGTTTTCGTTTGACAATGCCTCCATCATTACAAGATTCGCGGAACCCGTGGACATTTGATTCATAGTGGACGAAGTGGAGGGAGGCGAGTTCAAAGTCATCAACAAGGCAATCGATGTATCAGGACCACCGGATGCCAGAGCGCTTGCAGGCATGTTGACAAAAGCCCAACGTTGAGTTCAAGACTGCCGAAAGTGGAGCATCTGAAGGTCGATGAATCGCAAGCAAACAAAGTCACGTATCGACAGATCCAAGCAGGTTGCGATCGAGGCAACGTCGAGATCATGCCACAATATGCCACAACATGGAACTACCTTTTGCGTCAAAATGTGGAATGGCTTGGGAGACGCATCGGGGAGGTTCACTGAACCACCTGTCAACGATCCTGGATTCTATACATCCGAAGGACACTGATGACTACATCACGCTCAATGATATCAGCAGGAAGCTCAACAAAGTACTGAGACACCAGACCGGGAAAGCAACAGTGGAGAGACGCTCAGGTAGGCAACATGATATTCTTCCATGCAACGAAGGAGGATGGGTGAACATCAGGGACGTTCTCATGTACGGACATATCTTTGGAGACAACAGCAATCAAGTCACGAGAGGTGCAATTCAAGGGAACTACTTGGAAGATCCTTTCGGTGAGATACCGACGATGCTGTCAAGCAATGTGGTACTCAAAGAAAACGCAAAACCGAGTCAGGTTCCAGATTGCAGCAGTTCGCGTGTCGTCAAGTGATGTCACAAAGTTCGAGCAGAGAGAGTATTGGGAAGAGAACCACAAAGTGCCAAATGATGAAAGATACTACAGAGAGCACGACAGACGGATCGAGGCATACAGACAAGAATGAGAACGATGTCATCCTCAACCCACGCCTCACGTCACAGGAAAATATAGATGAGATAGCGATCCAACTTGGCGGAAGCTTTCATGTCACAACGTTAGCAAAGCTGCCATCCATTGTGAGATATGGGCTAATATTGCCAGGAGGAGATAAGGGAACAAGAGGAAGTTCATTCTTCAATCACTACGCACCTTGGGACTTGAGAGCATCAACTGTTTTGAGATCAAAAGTCCCGACGGATGACGTTTGATTGTTCTATATGTACCAATTGCATATCTTCAACGTCTCGGTGCACGACTTGCCGAAAGCTCCTATGTGGTTATATTTCAGGGAGTGCCGTGGGATTGTGTCACGAGTGCATGGTACAAAGAACCAGCCCAAGGAAAATGGAGAAGATTGTTGGCAAAGGGGTCACGAACCACCTTATAGCGGCATCAAGATATTCAAAAAAGATAGCAGCAAAGGATCAGATTGTCGAGAGGGCACAGCAAGTTATTGCCGAATGCGCAAGGAGAGATGACAACATCCGAAAGCTCGATGAACTCGTCAACAATGGAGACCTCAAGAGGACAAAACAGGAGCCATGGAATGTGATCATCGCCAGAACTTGTGAAGGCTACAACAGTGTTGATGGAAACATCGTACGCCCTGCGTGCATGAATGTGACACGGAACATCTTTACCTTATGTCTACACTGTCATGCACGTTTCTTCAGTTGCGGAATCAGGAATACTGTCTCCACAGACACAGTCATTGAGATTGATGATGACGATGAGGAAGCGGAGAAGAAAGGTGATCCCAAAGTGAAGGAAACAAACGATCCTGACAAAGAAGAACAAGAGATCATCGACAAGGCAAAGATGGACCAAGTCAAAACGGCGGTTCAATCGCAGATCGACTCGATGATGAATAAGAAGAAATCAGCCAAGAGCGCATCGAAGACTTTATGAAGAAGAAAGACCTAGAGTCCAAAAGGGAAGAAGGCCACGAGCTATTCACCCCAACCTTTGATGTTGGTGAAGTGGATTATGAACGTGACTCCCAAACTCCAGAAGTCGAGGAAGTCATCGATGAGCAAGATGCTATCAATAAGAGCGCAGCCGAGTTCAACAGAACATCAGATAAAGTGGTCGAAGAAGTTGAAGCAGAAGATCAAGACACCAAACTTGATGATGGAGGGAATGACGATGATGACTATGGAAGAGAAGGAGCAAAATCCTATCATCCCGATGAACATCTTGCCAATCACGAACTTCCGACATGGTGTACATTGGACTCTCAGGACGAAGCTGGTTGCCAAGACACGATCACAGGATCATCAGGACTCATGGATAGATACCTTGTTCGACGCATGGCGCAAATAATCAAGCCGATGTACACCTAAACTGGCGTCGTCAGGTTCCCTGAACTCTTCCTCAAAGAAAAGACTGGACGTGATGTCTGACTTCACCAAGGGGTACGCAATGGGTTTGATGACGATGACATGCCCAAGGACCCGAAGGAGAGACAAATGCAAGAATTTGCAAGGTGGAAGAAGACCACCGCGGAAGAAGCATGGTACATGCTGAGGGGAGAGCAGATGCTGGGAAAGTTTGCGCTGCAAGGGATTGCTTTTGGATACACACCGGAGAGCTTCAAGAAAGAATTTGTTGAAACAGACAAACAGGCACAAGACCATCCAGCAAGAAAGCAAAAACAAGAAGCTATGTGAAGGATGATCAGGAAGTGCATGAAAGCGATCTACAGTGTCAACTCGTATTCCTATTTCAGGAACGACCTGAACGACAACAACGTGCACAAGTGCATCAATCCTCTACATGTCTTGTACTCCAGACCACAAAACAAGTGGGGCAAGGTGATGATTCTGGTAATGGACCAAGCCAAGGTTACCCTCTTACCAGCAGCGCAGGACGCTCTGGGGAAGATGACAAGTCACCATGATCAGCAAGCGCTAGATCGATGGCAAAGCGTCTTGGACAAGGACCAGATCCAGAAGTTGATGGACAGATACCACAATGTTGCGCCTGAGGTTGAGAGACCACCATCCGAAGCAGCTTCATCAAGCTATCGTGCGCAGACACGCGAAAGAGAAATGATCGAAAAGGAGAAGGAAAAGGAAAGACCTATGGTCATCCCGGTCGACGGACATGGGAGCAAACCAACAACTATGCTCGTGACTGGAAGCCAGCAGCTATATGAACATGAACAGCCGTGGTGCAACGTTCCGTGACGCCACATGGACGCATCCAAGACACCGACGTGATCCGGGATTCTGGAATGAACCATACTGGAATCCAAATATACGGACAACGCGGAGAAGCTGGCAAGAATGGGACCAAGATCGTGGAGAGGGACGACGTGAACATGGTGAACAAGACCATGAAGAAGAAGACGATACCTGCCAGAACAAGGCGAGTGCACGACGCTTGACCTTGAAGCCGTAAGTGTATCTGCGTGTGAATTTTCTACAGATGAAAGGGAGCAAAGCTCAATCTACGTCATGGCGAAGAAGCACTGAGTGGAATCTGAGCGAGGCAAACCTTCACTGTCGGTTTTCATGAATTATAGGATGAACTGCACGCTGTATAGATATGTAAAAGACCGCTTAGTTTCAATAGTGATGTGTAGTCAGAGTCTATTTTGATAGGTCTCGCGGCAAAGGTATAGCGAACCACTGCACATAGTTCACTACCCGTGAATTTCAAGTGTGACCATTGCCGAAAGCGTCGGTCACATGGGGGGTGTCAATAGCAGTGGGACGACTATACAGTCTAAACATGCGCAGCACACTTCAGCGTGTCACGCCAATCTTTGGCTCAAGACTCCCGTGGTGTAAGCGAGAAAGAAGCGTGCCCCCGCTGCCCATGAGGGAGAGAGGACCAGAGAGGATAGTCTACTTGTACTTCCCGTCAAGCAGATTAATATCCACGCGCAAAAAGCAACACAGTATATTGAAAGCGCGACGGACTCCTTTGCAAGGACTCGTTTAGAGCGCCCTTGTTAAATGGGGCTTTGGTAAAATGGTTCCGCCCCTTGTCTGCCCTGCAGGTTGGTTGTGATTGGACACTATTGGCGTCGGTTTCTGGATGAAGTCCATCCAACGGTGTTTGAGAAACATCCGAGCCACAGCGGGAACTGTTACACTGTAGACAAGTATACAGCGCTTGGATAGTTGGATCACAGTAATGCGCTACAATGCGTTTCGGTTTTCTTGCTCCTTGACCTATTGTAGTCCCCAGGAAAGGCTTTTTGCCATCTGGAGTTGCAACTCTGCTGCAAACACGTCAAAATTTGCATTGACCACTTAGTGCAACTTTGCTCTTGGCTGTTGGACTTCAATTTCTTTGGGCTCGCAGTACTTAGACGCGCTTGTGATGTAACAGCTGTTGTTGAGAAAAAGGCCAACGAATCTCGGAAAGCTTCCATCCAAACCAAATCTTTCTTTTACAGGCTTAAAGAGTCTTCACCCCAGGCTTATTGCAGAACTCCGTTTCTGGAAGATTCTGTACCTTTTGGAAGGCATCCGATAAATTAGTGCAGGAGTTCTTCTTTGCTCCTGGCATACTCGGAAGACACATATATATATATATACAGTATACTAATACTACTCTTCTCCTACAATTGAAATGGTTTGATTTAGGAGTTGTGCAAAGCACCGTTTCAAGTTTCAACTGCGGTCTCTTGACATAAGACTGAGACTGACAGTGAACATGAACTGCTTGCATTAACATAGGCTAGCCAATTTTTCACCTCAGGATATGTTTCCTGGCTATTCGCCTGATTCCCTCCTTGGCATCAACAAGAAGGCGATGAACGCGAGAAGAGACTTCTAATGGTGTGATCTCAACTTGCAGAGCAGCCCAGGTGATTTGTGTGGACTTTTCCGTTGGGGTCCGTTTTGAGGAGAGAGGTATGGGCAGCTCGGCAGAGACAGCTTGAGCAGCTTGAGGCTTGAGGGTTAGTTAGATGGCCCCTCTTTACAAAAGAAATTAACACATGAACAAAGGACGGTAAAGGTTATTTTTTCCTCGCTGTGAGGGGTTCTCAATGGATGATTTTTCAATCTCCCGGGCCCAACAGGCCTCTGAAGACCATCCCCCGCCAGCGAGCTCCCTCGCTCGCATCCCGTGCGTGGCAGCTGCTGTGCGCTGGGGGACCTGGCTGTTGGCCGCTTTTCCCAAAGCCGGCGCTGTGCCACCTGTTCTGCAAGGAGCGCGACCTCTCCAGCTCGACTTTCACCGCGCAAGCCGCCGCGCAGTCTTCAGCGCCCTCTTTTCTGAGCGAGGGTAGCGGAGAGGATAGACATTGCTTTTCCTTCTTCTCTACCCGTCAAATCAACTATGGCAGAGGGCCAGTAGACCCTACCGGGGTATATGCCAAAAGCTCGAAGTGCAGCTCTCGTGAAGCGCAGCGCCGCTTGTCCCAGCTTGATCACACCACGTGCAAGGGCCGGGTTCTGTTCAGGGATGCCTCAACACCGGCTCCTGCTCCTTCCCTGCCACAGCGATCCCGGCCGGCAGACTGACTGTCCTGTCGGTAGCGCTCTTTGGCAAGAGTTCATGTCTTGGGTATTCATGGTTTCCACATTGTCACGCTTCAGGGAGCTCGATCTCCAATAGCTGGACCAGATTTGGCTACCGTCCCATCCAATCAGCCACATCAACGCCGCAGGATCCTGGACAACTCCTTGCGCTGGTCCGCAACTCAGTGCTCTGAGCAAGACTTTCGTTTGCGGAGTTGGTCCCAGGCCAGGGAGACTCATTACGCGCGTCAGGATTCTCACGCGCCCGATGTGGTCACAACACGCCGCAGATGCCTCCACTTTTAAGCCGCGCCCCGTCCTTGCGCGAGCCGCCCCTTGGACTTGTCTTCGCAAACGCAATCAGGCGTAGCCCACTTGTAACACCATAAAAAATGAAGGGAACTTTGATACTAGTCTCAGGGGCGCTGAACCTCAGTTCGAGTGTAGCAGATGCTTGGAGGTTTCGTCAGCCCTCCAACACACATCGCCCCGCCAGTTTGACCGTGGCGCATTCCAAGGTCGACAAGGTTCAGCAACTCTCTATCACTGTCCTGGAGAAACTTTGTGCAGGAAACCCATCAACATCTTGAACTCAACCCGCCCAACTGGGACCTGTTTCCCGAGCGCTTTAGGCCCTCTGATTCATTGTTTCATTGGACTCGTCCACAACCCATCAACCTTGCGCTCAGGACGCGGCGACAAGTCCGTGGACTTCGACATCTCAAAGTCCACGGGTTTCACGGCCTGGAAACTATTGTGTCATCACCTTCGGCTGCAGAAAAGCAACAACTCCTCACGCAAAGACCCTCAGTGTCCATCCCGTAGTGCCATTCACCGTTGACGACCTTGGTGCAAGCCACCGTGGCAGTTGTGACAGTGGCGGGATCCGATGTCCTTCGAGTCTGCGGGTGGCCCCTCTGTTGACCATCCTTTGGTGTCAGGATCTAGTACTGACAGACGATGAGACGCCTTTGAGCGTTCCAGACGCCTGAGAAAACTTGCTTTTATTGATCATACTGGAGGTTTGGGTGTGACGTTGGATCAAGTGAGCTGGATCAAAAGGGAGCTGCCGCGTCCGTGTTTTCACATGGTAGCGGGGCTGTGAGGATACAGAAGCTTTGAGAGAAGAGACGGTTTTTGAGCCATGGTGGACCACAGGTGGGGCAGTGATTGAACTGAACGACCAAGCCGAATCCACTGGGAGTGATGGACCCCGGCCTGTTTGGGACACTCAAAATGCCGCAAAGAAAATTGAAAGTGGTTCATCCACACCTGCCGCAGGAGATCAGTGACCCTGCTTGATTCAAATCTCTACAACAAGAGCTTCACGCTCAGTTGTGGCCCAGCACGCTGATCATTGCTGTCCCACGCCAGACAGTCCAAGACGAGGAAGTGACAGACATATATGGAGGACGGTTGCTGAACAAGATGATGGCCTCTGCACTCCTGCGCGCCTTCCCAGTCTGTGGTATGCCCGTGACGCACAGTGCTTTCCTCCACTGCCACATGATTCAGGCGCGCCCAGACATGATCCCTTTCGTGTGGGGGCTCGACCAAAGCGCGAGTGGAGGGCCTAACTGAACACAAGGTGGCCGTACGCCTACGTTTGCAGGGCTTTAGGTGCAGGTTGGCTGCTGAGGTGGCCCTGATAGGTAGATCCTCGCTGAGGAGATAGGCGCAAGCGTGAGCCGGGGCCCCGGGGCTGCCAGCCATCTGGTTGATATATCCATTACTTGTCCAAAGAGCGAAGGTTGTTGTCGAATTCGTAAAGCAGGATTTGCATCTCTTCTGCCCGTCCAGCTGCCTGGCTGTGGCGACGGGGACTGGGGCCAGGTTGGTGAGCAGCACTCATCCTTCGGCTGCTGGACATTTCCCGTGCCCATTTTTATGGGTTGGCAGAGCGAGATGTTTTTGTAGAACTTCCTGAAGGCGACCGTCAGGATGGCTTTTGTGGGAAACTTCAGAAGAGCGTGTATTGTACACGGGATGCAGCATCAATATAGGGGAAAAGCTATTCGACTTTACTAATCAGTGGCGGATTTGTGAAATCGATTGCTTTCCCAACCTGCTTCTGGCACCCCGTCCACGAAGTTCGTGTCCTGGTACACGGAGATGACTTCGTTGTTCTTGCTGATCAACAGGGTCAATCCTATGTGGAAACCCTGCTGCGATCCCAGTACGACCTAAGGGTCGACGGATCACTGGGTCCCGGTGAGACCAACCACGATTCACCGTTCTCAACCGGATTGTGTCCTTTGATGAGTACTCAGGTAGTTTGGCCCCCATTTGGTCGGTCGATTTAACACTAGAACAAGCACGGGCTTCGCCGTCGATCTGGCACGTGTGGAACAAGTTCAACAACAAGCTACGCAGAATTCTGTTTTATGCGGGATTGCAGATCGCGACCTTGGGGACGATGTTCTGGGAGCTTTTAGCTACCACGAACGCAAGCAATGTCTATGCGAAAGCTTTCTTCGCTTTTTGCGCCATCAAGGCACTTGGAAAGTCAACTCAACTTCTATCGCGCGCAACACAAGCGCGACCACGGTGACGCAATCACGATTCTGCAGTTTACATCCACGGCCTTCAAGCAGCGATACTCAGGACTGAAACCTACGTGGACAGAGATGATCATATGATGGCAGCAGCAGCAGCGGCAACGGCGTAGCGAGCTTTCAAGCAGTAGTAGCGATGATAGATATTTACCCCTCACACGCATAGTATGCGAAGTGAGTGGAGAAAAACCAGAGTCCCCTACTGATCACATTCATCCTTCTCGCGACATTCTTTCCTCACCTGCTGTGCTTTCGGGCCACCCTGTCGCCTAGTTTCTGCTGCGTCTTCTGCTTATGACTCTGCTGCTTTTTCTTCCGTTGCTGCTGCTGCTGCTGTTCTTCTTGCGCGGCTTCTGCTTCTTCTTCTTCTTCTTCTTCTACCTTTGCTCCTTCTTGAGTTCGGTATTCGGCCCCGACGAGCCACTGTTGAGCAAATCACAAGCATCCTTTGCCGCAGGCAAGGGTCAAAGATTCCAAGTACACACAGAACGTCCGACGCATCTAGACGCTGGAGACATTTCCTGGTCGCGTGGGGTGCAGCCGCAAATGACGACCCTGCTGTGTTCATGCAGCAGAGCGATGTTTAACTACCTTCAGTTACGTGACAACCATTGCCAGCGCAATGCAAGTGTTGAGTTCGCCGGGCAACGCATGCAAAGCCATGCCATTCGAGTTTGCGAGCGCAGACACCTTGTGGAGGGGTGTAGCTTACAAAACGAATATTGCAGGATTGTAGCTGACGTCAGTTAGCTACCCCCGACGTGGAAAGCCTCTTCTCAAAGACACATTTTTCCACCTCACTGCAGTTTGATCATGTGTCAGTACACTGTGACTTACCGCCCCCCCAGCAATAGCTTGCTGTCTAGAGACCTCCACAATATAGACACACTATGCATTCTGAAAGAACATACTCACAAAGAGTAAGTTTACACAGCTTCTGGATTCACGCGAAATGTCCTACGTCTCTGCTAAACCTGCATCGGCGGCACGTAGCTGGCGATTTGTCTTCGCCATATCGTCAACTTCTTTTCCCCACCGCTGGAAGGCCTGTATGTCAGAGCGGTGGTAGGCCCAAGGCGGTGGATCAGGAGGACTGCCGCCTCGATACTTGATGCCAGGTTCCGGCGGTTCCGGTCCACGCTTGATGGACCAGGGTTTGTCCGTCTTCTTGGATTGCTCCGCCAGCTCCTCCAGCACCTTGTCTCTCCAGCCGGCATTCTTTGAGCTGGCATCTCCGCTGAGGTCGGGGGAAGCTCTGGCTCGCTGTCCTTGTCCATCGACGGCCTTGGACTTGCCGCCTTTGCCTTTTTGCTGAACTTTGTACGTCTCCTTTGCCAGAAGGAGGCCGGTGTGGTTCTGCAGCGTGAAGGCCTGGTAATCGAAGGGCTCCAACAGGATTAGATTGAGGGGCGACAGGAGGCACTTATTGTGGTACGAACGGTGGTCGAGGTACAGCAGGAGGTGGTTGAGGCGCTGCTGGTCTTCCATGTGGTTCAACTGGGACTCGTCCTGGCCTGCTCCGCAAAGTCACGCAAATACCCGCCAGGAAGCAACCGCTCACCGTGGAAGATTCAATGCTTGCAATGGCGCAGATCAGCCTGACTTCTAATTCTAGTTATCTAGTAGTAAAAGCAAGCCTGTTCTGCTTCTCTACACTCGCAGCTGTCGCTTCTGGAGCAGAATATGAGCTTGTGATAAAGAAATTCGTCCCCGTCATCCTGTTTGGGCGATTGCGCTGCGCCCACGTGTATGCAAACTCGTCTTGCTCTTCCTTTTCACCTCTTGCAGCAACCGCCATAGAAGCTATGGCCGGATGCGGTTTGTGGGGCACCGGCCATGGCCACCCGGCCATATAGCCAGTAGGTCACGACCGTTCAGCCACGACAAGGTGGCCGAGGAGGATGAATGTGATCAGGAGCGGGGTGAAAACGCTGCGCACACAATCTGAGGAACTCGCGCTTTTTTCTCCACTCAGTTCGCGCGCTATGCATGCGAGGGGTAAATCATGATCATCGATGCAATCCCGCTTAAAACACAAAATTCTGCGTAGCTTCTTGCTGAACTTGTTCCACACGCGCCAGACGGCGAAGCCCGTGTTTGTATTTAAATCGACGGGTATGGGTATACACGTGGAAGGTGACTAGGGCCAAACTCGTCGCGAGTCACATTCGCAATGGACCTCACGATTGAGTAAATCAAAGCTTCCTTTGCCCCAAACAAGCATCAAAGATTCCCAATGCACACAGCACATCCGATGCGTCTACACGCTGGAAGCATCTCCTGCACGTTCGGGGTGCAGCCGCAAAGGACGACCCTGCTGTGGTCGCGCAGCAGAGCGATTTTAATTCCCTTCAGATATGCGACAGCCATTTCCAGCGCAATGCAAGCGTTGAGTTTGCCGCGCAACGCATGCAAAGCCATGCCATTCGAGTTTGCAAGCAGAAACTTGTGGAGGGGTGTAGCCTACAAAACTAGTATTGCAGAATTGTAGCTGACATCAGCCAGCTACCCTCGATGTGGAAAACTTCTTCTCAGTAACACGTTTTCCACCTCACTGAAGCTGAATCATGTGTCAGTACGCTGTGACTTACCGCCCCGCGCAGCGATAGCTCGCTGCTAGTCCAGAGACGTCCGCAATATAGACACACTATGCGTTCTGAAAGGATATACTCTTTGCGTAAGTTTACACAGCTTCTGGATCCACGCCAAATGTCCTACATCTCTACTAAACCTGCGTCGCAAAGTCACGCAAAGACCCGCCCGGAAGCAACCAGGCGTGTCTCTGTGGAGGATTCAACGCTTGCAATGACATAGATCAGCCTGACTTCTGATTCTAGCCATCTAGTAGTAGACGCAAGCCTATTCTGCTTCTCTACACTCGCAGCTGTTGCTTCTGGCGCAGAATGGAAACTTTTGAAAAAGAACTTCATCCCCGTCATCCTGTTTGAGCGGTTACACCGTCTTGCTCTTCCTTTTCCACCTTTGCAGCAACCACCATAGAAGCTATGACCGAAGCTATGACCGGATGCGATTGGTGGGTTCTGAACCACGGCCACGGCCTTCCGGCCATACAGCCAGTAGGTCGCGACCGTCTGGCCACGGACACAGCCACCCGGCCATGGCCACCGCCGCGACCGTCCGGCCACGCCCAGCCGGCCACGGCCACGGCCACGCGTGAAAAAGAATTATCCTCCGCGCTGAGCGCGCTGACCGGATGTTCCAGAGTCCGCCCTGCAACGCTCCGAACGCAGGACAATGTACGGCCTTCGAAGAAGCCCTTCCATTGTCAGCCGGGCGCAGTCCAGGCAAGCTTCAGGCGGACAAGAGAAGGACAAGATGAAGACAACAGCAGGACAAGAGGACGACAAGGGGAGGACAACAGCAGGACAAGAGGAGGACAAGGACAACAGCAGGGCAAGGACAGGCTTGGTCAGCGCGGCCAGAGGACAACGGCAGGACAAGTGGCGGAGCCCAGCCAGAGTTCGGCAAGAGGAGGACAAGGCCTGGACACAGGGCCAGAGGAGGAGCCCAGCCACAGAAGACAAGAGGAGGACAAGGCCTGGACACACAAGAGCCCACTCACAGAGCCCAGCCCACAGAGCCCAGCCACAGAGTTCAGGGCGCGGCCAAGAGGAGGACAAAGGACAAGGTTTGCAGCCAGTCACACAGGACAGGAGGAGGACAAGGCCTGGACACAGCGCCCAGCCACAGAGCCCAGCCACAGAGTTCAGGGGCGCGGCCCGTGAGTGTGGCCAGCTCTTTTTTTTCTAAGATAGAACCCCAACAGTAAACTGTTTGGGGAAAAAGGCAGTCCGTGAATGCTGGGAGATGATTCTGCTTTGTCTCCGTTTGACCCCAGGGCTCTTCTTGGATTTTGGGTTGACATGATTCTGTTTCGTCTCCGTTTGTCCCCGATGGCTTTTCTTGTTTGTTTACGCTAAGTGGCTAAGCCTTTACATTTTTGAATTGGGGATGGCCCAGCTTCACCGGAATGCTTGTGGTTCGTTGGGGTTGAGCTAAGAGAAGGATCGAACTGCTGTTTGCGGCCGATGCTGATATAGTGATATATATATATAGTCTGATACATCGTTATTTTTTGTTGTTTGTTTTGAACGTTTGAGCTGAGCAGAGTCTGGAGCGAGTTCAGTGTGAGGTTTGCCAGAAGGTGGCCTTGGCACACAACTGGTGGCCCTTCGTTTCCCTGATCTTCTTTTACAAAGAAGTGATGGACTGATCTTGCCGGTGAAGTAGCTAGCCATCACAGAGTTCGACCTGAAAAAACTTGATGTGGACATTGCGCGCTGCAGTTTTCTTCCCGATTGGTTGTTCAATTTCTTTTTGATGAAAGGCATGTGACAAATTTTACCTCCTGATTCCCCGTTCTTTATTTCTTCTTCGTGAGTTGGCTTCACCCTTGCGAGGCTGGAGACGGCTGTGACAATGGAAGAGTTGAGCCAGGACACATTTGCGTCTACAAAGGAAGGCTCGGTGGGCAAAAACCAAAATGCTGACGTGAAAGGGGAAGTGGCTGTAAATGTTTCTACTATCTGTCACTCCGGCGCGACGCAAACGCTTAAGAACTGAGATTGAACTTCTTCGATGTCAGCAGTTGTTGTGTTTCTTCAAATTATAGAATTGTTTCTTTGCTGAAGGTTCGGCATTGAGACGAGCTGTCCTGGAGTGCTGTCAGCTGATAGAAGCGGTGCTGGCAAACCTTTGAAGAGTGTGGGGACATAATATTGCACTTGTACTCCTCTCTTTGATGCAAAGATGTCATCTCATGGGGTGACATGGGCAGGTGAAACACAGTTTACAGACCAGAGCATCGAGCCAAATGAACAACAAATTTGGATTCCCGCTTCTGACATAAATGGGGTCGAACTCTGGCACTTTAACTGCTTTCCGGTCACCTCCGAGATGTCGACGAGGTCGGTTTTCGAAAGTTCTTCAACCATTTTTAGACGAAGCTTCCGGTCTGAGAAAAACACATTTTTTCTTTCCAAAAATTCAAACGAAAACACACTTCGTGACAAAGGGGATCGGGGATACCAAGGATACCAAGTGCAGGTTTCATGGTGTGGGAGGAAGGGTGGGGAGGAGCGCCTCCCCGCAAGAGCATACAAAATGAACAGGCGTGTGCGAAGCCTGGCAAGATCAAGTGACCCCGGTCACATTTCACACGTCGCTCGGCTAGCACGCCTTTACCAGAAATCGAAGAAACACACCTCTCCACAAAAGGACAAAGTCAATCAAGAGTCAACTGGCATTCCATGCATGCAAATGATTGCGTATAGCTTCATATTAATATTCCTGTACTCTCTGCCTGCAGTTGCATAACAGCCATTGGCAACACTCCACTCCTGGAGCTCTTTCAAAAGCCTACTTCAGATTATCATTATATATGTTTTCGTCATTTGAGGTTGACTGGGCAGCTGTTGCATCAAAGGCAGCTGTTTGAGGCTCATGAGTCTGGCCGTTTTGGGACCAGCTCTTGAGGTTTTTCGCGAGGTCCGTTGGGCCTTTTCAGGATCTAGCTGCCCACTTGGTGCCATATTGCTGATTGGCCTGATCACTGCATCCCTTTGTTTTTGCAGCGGCTTGTGCTTGGGGATTTGCTTGGCAGCTCCACGGTGCAGGGCCTGGATCTGGCCCTTTTTGATTGCAGCTGATCAGATTTGGCAGCAAGCTCCTGTGCCTCCGGACTCACTTGAACTGAGGGGCGGGTTTCGGGGATACCGTGCATGAGCGCGGGGTGTTGTGGCATACGGCTGTGGTTGAATAGCTTCTTCCAACGCGGTCTTGAGCACGGCGCTGCTGCTGCTCCCGTTCTTTCCCCTGCTGCGCCGCGGAGTCCTTTGAGCTCCTCGGACCACACTCCTCTTCGGTTTACTGAGGTGTTCCCTGGAAGGCGGGTGGGTGATTTGCGAGTGTTGGACGTCGAAGAACGTCCCTTGGCTGAGCTGCGCGGTCCTCGTTGTGCTGCAATTGAATTATCAGCGGATTATACGCTTGTATTGCTGCAAGCTCGGACCCCTCAAGATCTTCACCAACTTTTCCCTTCATTTTTGGAACCCTTTGTAATTAAGCTGGACATCTCTGAACCTCACCCTGACTGGACACTGCAAGCGCGACCGGCTCGGGCTTTTCGTGCTGGTGTTTCTGCTCTCCGTGTGAATCGTTTTTTTCACAAGCAAGCCAATTCAGCGTCATTGCCATTTGACAATCGGATCTACGTTGTGATCCGCAGTGAACAGTTCCCAGAGGGCTGCTGTACTTGGTCTTGCCCCACTTACTGCAGAGTGTTGGCAACCGCTGACGGCCTGCAAGCTGGGTCGATCTCTCACGCATTTCCTAGAGAGAGAGAGAGGCTGAGGTTTTTCTGCGAGGCTGCCACTTCCCTAGATGGCCGCTGGAACTGGAACCGCTGAGCTTTGAGGTGATTCAGAGACAGGTACGAGACATCGTGCCTCAGCGGGCTTTGCCCACTGCAATTTTGATAGACCCCGAAAAACCGAGTCAGAAGTCCGAGTGCTATCCTACCTTTTGAATTGTCGGCCCATTGGTTTCATGGTCGCTCTGCCAGAGCTTGCCGAAGTGCAGGCTATCCTCGATCAAGCCCCAGATTCAGATGGAGTCAGCCTGGTAGTTTCGCGCCCCTTCAGTGTCAATTTAGAGGATTCTCGAGGCAGGAAGTTCGGATCAGGCCAGATGCTTTTGCCGACTTTGCTGCCGAGTGTGCCGACTGGTTTTGCCACACCCCTGTTTTGAGGGGGCGCAATCAAAGAGGCCTGCTCCGTTTGAGACAGTGTGGCCCGTCCTTCAACCAGTTCCGCGCTGACCACCGCAGACCACTGGATAGTGGACATGGACCGGCTGGACGATGCTTTGGCCGAGTACTTACCCGATGCCGAGACTGGCGCCCAGGGAGGGAGACTCAGCGGAGCGTACGTTTTCAACAACTGCAAGCCCGCGTAGCCGAACTCGAGGCCGCCCAGGCTTCATGTCGAACTCCGCAGCCTGTCATCGATTTGGAGCCTCGTCCTCTTTCTCGACGTCGCTCAGTTTTGTTCGATCCTTCCAGCGTGCATGGCACCCTCAGCGGAGCCACTATATGAATCGCTTGAAGCAACTGGCCGGGCCTGCTCCGGCAAGACTGTCTCGCGCCGAGGCTGTCGCACCTCCGAGAGCCAAGCCAGATCAACATCTGTTTGCCGATCTGGGGCCAAGGCACAGACTGCCATGCTGGAAGCGACGGGGGTGTCAAGGGTTGTGTCGCCCGCGACGCTTACATCAGGATGTTGTGGGCACGGGGAAGATCATCACCAGAAATGCAGCTCAAGATCTAGGCATCCCCCTGGCTCAAGTCGAGTCGGGGCTGATGCGAAACTATGTAGAACGGCGGATGTGGCTGGGAGAGCAGCGACAGCTCACCCACATGGCCCAGTTCCGCGCGGTTGGCAGATGAGCTTCGAGTCGAGGGTTGATGATGGTCGAACAGATGGCCATAGACCAAGGCAGATGTCAGACAGCTTGGCTATTAACCGCCATGCCAGATCCAAATCTGCAAGCCATTTCCCTGAACAAGAAGCGAGTTGGACTCACTCCTTATGCCAAACTGGCGGCCGCTCCTTGGATCGCTGGCAACATATCATATTTGAAGGATTTGGATTACCTTGAGAGTCGGCTGAAGAACCCAAAGGTCGAGAAGCCGGACCGAGACGGTTCCACTTCCGAGACTCCTCCACCTCGCAAACCTTGGAAGGGGAAGAAGGGCAAAGGCAAAAGCAAGGAGGATGGAGCCCGATCCTCAGCTCCATGAGCCGCAACAGCCAATCCGAGAAGGCTTCGCTGACCAAGTCGGCCGGTGATTTTGGCCTTGTGAGGGCTGCCCGTAGATGCTCTATAGTTCGAATGACCACTATACTCTTTTGAGCCCTGGGATGGTCGCGTAGTTATAGTGATGTATCAGAGGCGGACGCTGGTCGGCAGTTGGTCGACGGAGAAATCCCTGCACTGAAGCCTTCGGATGAGCCTGTCAGTTTTTAAAGTTTACTTCAAGTTTTTGTGCAACAATCAGGTGCTGCTGTTCATGTAGGCCTTGCTAATTTTGTAAAGCTGTCATGCCAGCGTCAATCTCGCAGCGTGCGCAGTGCCCGACTGGGGCCTTGTCCCATACCTGCCTGGAGTTGGACGGGTCCTAAACATCTTTCACCAAGTCGTCGTCGCCGGCGTAAGCTGCTAGAAGTTCGGCGCGATCTGCTCAAGTGGGTCAAAGGTACTCTTAACTGGGAGTGCCTGGGTCACCCCAGACACCTCCTCCTGAAGCGTGTGTTGGTACCCCATATACTGATGAGCAGTGGGCCATGATCTGTCGGCTTGAGCGGTTGATTGACTATTTTGTGCGGCCTGGGCCGCTCAGCTCACAAACACTTGGGCGCAGTGGTGAAAAATTCAGCCAGTTATTTGCTGCTGCTCAGGAACTGCCCATTGGGGAAGTGGACCTTCTCGAATTAGTTTCGTGCATATATCCAAAGATATTGATCCTTATTCGACGCTCAGCAGTCTCATTGCAATGTTCTCAGAACCTTGGTGGCAGCATGCGTGATAGGGAACGGGTGAGTTATCGCCGGCCGTTCCCCAGGTCCTCTTTCATGGAGTGGTTATCCATTGACGATCATATTGGCATTCAGGTTGTGTCCAAATAGCAACTCCAGATGAGGTTTTGCCGGCGCCGAGTCGGCCTATCGCAGGGTCCGTTTAGTACAACACCCCAAAAAGAAGCGACGCAATGTTACCTCTGGCATTTTCTTAGGAGCGGAATTGGACGGCCTGAAGGGCCTTGTTTCTGCCCCTAGGCATAGGATTGGTGTTTTGATGATGTGCACCGTGCTGGTTGCCCGGCAAGGTACTGCGAGCCCACGCTTGCTTTCGAGCATCCTCGGCTGCTGGATTCATGCGCTGATGTTTCGCCGCCCGATCCTGGCCATTCTTTCACATGCTTTTTCGGAAGGACTTGGGCGGCCCCAGAATGAAGCTTTTGTGCTGGGCAGAGAGACGCGCGACGAGCTCCTGGCATTGAGTTGTCTCGGCCCAGTGTTTAACAGACTTGCGGGCCTCCTACGTTCCATATATGTTTTCTGCACGGATGCCAGCCCTGACGGAGCTGGGATTTGTCAGGCTGCGGAATCTCCTGACACTGTCGCAGAGTTATGGCGACATAGCGAACAACGGGGGTACTATACACAGCTTCTCAGCCCTGCTGCTGAAATCCTTGCTAGTAAAAGTGAAGAGTTTTCCGACGCTCAGCCTCATGCGGTCGTTGATTCCCAGGTCCGTGTTCCATGCAGTTTGAAGGAGGGAATTTTGTTTGATTGCATTGAATTGTTCAGGGGCGAGGGGAATTGGACCATAGCTCACGAGGCGATAGGGTTCACCGCCCACAGCGGCATCGAAGTAGCCGGTTCTGGTTTGCAGTTCGGTGATATCCTTGACCCATCAGTTTTTAGCCAACTGACTAGCCTCGCAGCGCGCGGTGTGGTGGCAGACTGGCTGCAAGACGTATGGCGCACTGCGCCGCCCCCGCATTAGGTCTAAGACTAGTCCCGCTGGTTTTGATTTGGATGACTCTTTTACTAAAGAACACACTCGCCTTGCACTTAGGATAGCGTTTCTTATGAACCTTGTGATGCTTTCTGGATGCTTTTTCAGTGTAGAACAGCCTGGTTCATCAGTAATGTTCTATTTGGACGTGTTCAAGCGCATGGTGTTCCGCGGGTGCATGATCACAAAGATGTGCTTTTGTGCTTTAGGGTCCCCTTTTAAAAAACCGTCAAAGTGGCTTCACAACACGCCGTGGTTTCATAGCCTTGAACAGCCCTGCTCCTGTCCCTCTAGGCATCAACATTTTATCGTGGAAGGATCGTTCACCAGGGATTCTGTTGAGGAGTTTTGCCATCTGTGCCGACCATCTGCTGAGGAAGTGTACGGCCGTCGTCCCCGGGTAGGAGAAGCAGTGTCATCGTTCTCAGCTTCGTACCCCTTGTGCGCCAAGATGGCGGCTGGTGCCTGGCACGCTCGGCGTGACACAGTTCCGGTCATTCCCTTGACAGCTCACTTGAAGTCGCTGGATCGCATCGGTGAGTCATGCGCTATCCCGAGCCTCCCGAGCAGTGTGATTCGCACCGCGGTTGCTGACCCTCGGCCGTTTCATGAGGATCCCGAGTGGGTTGAAGAGCTAGCCGATTCACCGCAGTTTCGCGAGCTGTTAAGATACAAAATTTGCAGGCAAGGTCACGTAAATGTGCTTGAATGCCGGGTGCATAAAACACTCATGAAACATTGCGCTAAACGTCATCCTAATTCTAGATTCATTACATTGCTCGATTCCAGAGTCGTCCTCGGTGCTATGTCCAAAGGACGTTCAAGAAGTCGAGCCATTTGCCGTGTTCTCTGGGATACATTCTCGGTGGTGGTTTATAACCAGGTGGTTTGCATATCGCATCGAAGGAGAAGGTAACACGACCCCGAGTGACCCGCGTAGTCGTGCACACAGCACTGTCAGGTCATTTGAAATGCATCCATGGTCCTTCACAATGTTTTCAATGTTGTCCCATATGTTCGCATGTTCATTTCGCTCCACAATTCCCCCCTTTTTTTGGACGTTGATCTGAAATTCTAAGGGGATTTACAAGTGTACGTTTCTGTCCAACCCCCAAAAAGTTGCAAACTGACTTTTCTTCGCGCAACTCAGGTTACAAGGACGCCAGTCTTTCCGTGGCATCTTGCGTGGAGGCACTGTACCTCCACACAAACTGCAACGCGGGCGTGACCGTAGGTGGTACGAACGATTGTCTGTTGAATTGGTCCCACACGGACACCCAACACAACCGCAAAAATTCACCGTACACCTCGAGAGAATCGAAATCTAAAACCCACCGGTCCGGATCTAAACAAATGTCGAGCGCGGCTACACCTAGAGAATCCTTGACCGACGTCGAAAGGTCCAGCAAACTGTCCAAGAATACAATGTCCACGCGAAAAAAAAACTTAACAACGAAGGCGGAAAGACAAAAGACGAGTCAAACGAAGAAGAATCACAACACACAAAGACACACCACAACAACGAAGGGACAACGAACGCATTGAGCTGCCAAAACTGCGGTGCTATCGACGTATCGACGACGACGTATCGACGTAACTGAACCCGCTGGTTTCCGTGACGACGTTCCGTGAACGACGTAACTGAACCCCCCCCCCTGAAAAGTAGAGCCTACCTGTACAGGGTTCCACTCCAACAGCCGATATAGTGTGTCCATGCTTGACTGCTTCAAGGCTCAAAGAGCAAGAGGATAAGACTCTGCGCATAAAAGACACTAGCGGTCTGCACCTCTACCGTGTACGCCCTAGTCACTCTTTCAGTGGTAGCGGAGCAGTGATCCTGGAAGACCCAGGTGAGCTCCTTTCCTAGGCATAGACTTGCTAGTGGGCAAACAGCCATGGATTGGATAGACGACTGGGAAGAGCCTGATGCGGATGTGGCTTATGAGCCAGCAGCCTACGTGAATAGGCATGTGAGAAGAGAACCAGCAGCAATAGCAATGACAACACAGGTCACTACAAAGGTGCCCCCATCTTATGATGGAAAGACTTCATGGTTTTCCTATGAGGATGCCATAGACGATTGGTGTGATATCACCGAGCTGGAAGATGAGAAAAGAGGACCAGCATTGAGAAACAGATTAGAAGGAGAAGCAGCTGTATACAAGCGTGTTTTAGACAGAGATGCATTGAAGGCAAATGATCCACCAGGAGCCGGCGTAGAATATTTCAAACGAGTACTACGACCATATTTTGTAAAAGGATCAACCAATGTATTCCTGTATAGGTTCATGCAATTCGTGCGCTTCAATCGAGGATCAGCTGACATGATGAAATGGATGACAAGATTCCAGATTTTACTCCAAAGGCTTATGAGCAGTTGGATGGACATGTTAGAACCAGTCACTCAAGCACATCCACAAGTCCTAGCTCAGATGCAGGCAGATGCAGCGTTGACTGGAGTAGCACCAACGGCAGAAAGGATTCAGGACATCATGCAGACCATCAATGGCAATATGAGGACTTTTCATCAGAACGAATTTCCTCTAGGAGAAAATCTCATTGCCTTACTCATGCTGTCGCTTGCAGATTTGTCTCAGGACCAGCGAAACACTTTGACTTCTTTGATGACTCATCGTGGCAGGGTCCTGCAGCAATACACTACAACAGAGTTGAGGACAGTGTTCATCGAGATGTTCTGCACGACAAAGACTTCAGTAGACAATCCCTTGATGCAGCCGACAGGTGCTGGAGGTAGAAGATCATTTCTCGTACTAGACGAAGGAGAACTCGATGGTACATTTGGCTATTGGGCCGAAGATGAAGAAGATGGAACAGAAGGATTTTTAGATGCCCTGGACGATGTCTTTTGGGTATATGATGATCAAAACTTCTCGTGGTTCCAAAGGAGATTCCAAGGAAGAAGAGCCAGAAAAGGCAAAGGAAAAGGAAGAAGAAAAGGAAAAGGAAAAGGAAGATCAGGCCGTAGATTCTTCAGACCTCGTGGAAAAGGAAAAGGAAAGAGACGAGGTAAAGGCCATTTTGCTGATGAGCAACAGACAACATATCCAGAAGAGTACTTTGAAGAGAATCCTTATGAGGACACTTGGGAGTCAAACCAAGTAGCATATGATGCTATTCTTGCCGAAGATATGAATGACTATCTTCAAGGAGAATATGATGATGCCAATGACTTTTGGCAACAGCTTGAAGAAGCATGGTTTTCCCACAATGGAAAAGGAAAAGGCAAGAGAAAAGGCAAGAAAGGAAAAGGAAAAGATAAAGGAGATGGCAAACAAGATGCAAACTATGCAAATCAACAGCAGCCACGTTCTTTACCTGCACCTTCAAGATCTTCACAAGCATCAGGAGGTCAACGAGTTTTCTTTGCACATTGTGTGACAGCAGCAGCTGAAGTCCATGACAGTGAGGTGGACTTGCTGTCAGGCATGATGACCTCATGTCAAGATGAAGCTGACTGCGCGGTCAACAATGGTGAGACGATCTTCAATGGCATGGGTGCCCCTGTGAGGTACTCTTTGTCAAAGGAGATGCTCACAAAGGCTCCTGATGGCTTTGCGCTTATGAGCGCTGAGGTAGAAGTGAAGGAGATGCAGGCCATTTCATTTTTGACTGAGAATCGCTTCCCGCCGACTATTGCAATCCTGGACATTGGATGCACTAGAGCTATGGGATCAAGGCGAGCAGTCGACCATTTTTGCAACTATGTCGACAATCACCCAGATTGTGGATTATGGTACTCTTTTGAGGCTACCAAGAGCAAGTTTTACTTTGCCAATTCCCAGAAGGCTACTTGCTCTCAGAAACTGGTGATTTACATGTATGATCGTGCATGGACGATCCACCATACAGAGTTCGACATAGTGGAAGAAGGAGAAGTCCCTTTGCTTATGAGCTTGCCACAGATGAGGAACTTAGGCTTTGAACTCAGGCTGACACCTCAACATGCTTATCTGACATCGGTGCCTCTTGGTATCAAATATTTGGAGTTGAAGGTTGCAGCCAGTACTCATCTTGTCTTGGACTTCCAAGATATTGCATGGTATCTGTCTGACGTGAATTTGCAGACTCGGCGCGAGAAGAGTTTTTACTCTCACTTCACTCACTATGAATATGGTCATATTTCTGTTGATCACAATAGTGATGAAGATGTAGCTGAACATGCATATCCTGTGGTTGACTACTGGGAAGTAGATGTTCACAAGAGAGAACTGATACGTCACCACAAGGATTATAGAAAGATTCTTTTTCCAGCAACTAAGTCCTGTCCTGTAGACACTGACTTGCTGGAAGACTTGCGACTGACAATCATCAAGAAGAAAGAAGGTGGAGAAGAGATCAAGAAGCAAGATGATTAGCGCAAGGCAAAATGGAAGGACCTACAAATTGGCTATGAATGGCGTGGTAGAACAATTTTTAAGTTCAAGCCAGATGCCAAAATTCCAGATCTAAAGATCAGGAAGGCTGGCATTGAGCACCGTGGCATTGGTGATCCCGATGCAGTGGTGCGCTCCTCCTCAGAGAAGGTTCCCATTGCAAAGGACAGGGAACCAGGCTTCTCGTCAGAGAAGGAAGGTGCACCATCAAGTGCCGCGGAAAAGCCCGTGCCGCCAAAGTTTCGGTATACTTCCAAGGGTTTTGATCCATTTTGGAAGGGACACAAGTCGAAACCATCTGAGCCTCAGAATGATTTAAAGGGTGATGATCTTGAGGAGTATGCTCCCTCAGAACCACCTGAGAGGCCAGAAGGTGAACTTGTAGAAATTCCTAAAGCATCAAAAGGACCATCAAGTGATAAACATGAACCACTTGAACCAGGTGATGGCGCTCTTGAGCCTAGGCGGATTTCAATCCCATTACCTGGTAGTGAAGTTGTTGCAATGACACCGGCGTATAGGAAGATGTTACAGAGACTGGAGGACAAGGTAGAGCTTTATAAGCTTCATGTGAAGCACTACCATATGAGTCCTACTCAGTTTCGTAGACGTGTTTCTATGTTGAAGCTTCCTGACTCTGTTTTAGAGAAGTATGAATCAGTTGTCAGGAACTGCCGTGTTTGTAACACTTCAGTGGCACCTCCGCCACGAGCCAGAGTCTCCGGTATTAGAGCTTCATGTTTTGGTGATGTTGTTTTTGCTGATCATTGTGAGGTTGAACTTCACAAGAACAAGTATATCATCTTACTTGTTCTTGATGGTGCCACAAATCTTTTTTGGGCTACGGCACAGAAAGACCTCATAGATCAAACCACCATCCAAGCATTGAGGCAATGGTCTGATGAGAACAACTGTGTTCCAAAGGCCATCGTAGGAGACGAAGCCTTTTTCACCGATGCTTTTGTTGAATACTACAGGTTCCATGGTATACAACAATGTCCTTGTGGACCAAGAACTCCTTGGCCAAACCGAGCAGAGACAGCTGTACGTTTGTTCAAACGTATGTGGCATGTTATGAAGGTAGATCTGGATGACCCACGTTTTCGTGGTGTTACGGTTTGAGAAGTGGTCAAGAAGGTAGTTTGGGCAAGAAATTGTCAGTTGACTATCAGTGGATATTCACCAATAGAGATAGCAA